ACAGTATACAAACACTCATTATTTGGGTGGCCAACATAAAACGGCAAAACCGGAGACGGAGGACCGAACAGCCCGGCGAGTCTACCAGTCGAAGTGTGACAAGCATACTAACCACAAATCGATGACATAAATCGCAATGTCGTGGAGGCGAGAAATCCCAGCTGCATCTGGTTTGCAGTGGTCCTTCAGGGGGCCACAACAGCGAGCACCCTCGACTCGACGTAATAGCCAATAGCGACGTGATCGACTCCGCCGCGTAATCGATTGCTTACGACTAAGTAAAGGTCGTTTTTTACACACGCCAGATGTCGTCGCAAGGGAGGTGATCATAAGTTCGGTTCGTGAGTGGAGTACGTTACAAAAGGCTTAGGTTTAGCCAAATGAATGTGAAATACTAAATAATCACACTTATTATACTCATAGGACATCAAGAATGGCGCAGACGAACCACAGATCCTGATGACTCACAAGACGTACTTTCATGCTAGTTTTTGTTGAATAACATAACGTAATTGTAACGTACAATCTAAATTGAATTTATGAACACCCTTTACACATGAAATGGTATGAGCCAAAAAACGACGGTAAAAGGGGTTTATTTGTAAATCTGTGCTGAGTTGTGTCTTCATCGGAAACTTTAGGCTAGTAGCGAAATTCTGCACGATTACAATAAATTCGTGGAAAGTTAATCCGGAATTTAAGTCTAACGTGTTACATTCTGATAAACTCTGGTGCGACATGATGAGACAAAATTTTACCTCTCCTAATAACTTAGGTGTCAATAATTACTCCAATTATACTTATACTGCTGAGTACTGACATCGTCTTGCAAGTTGTCTTCTACAAATCTTAACTGGACTTATACGTTATCAACACCTGTAAGGTACGTGTCGAATAGTCAATGTATGGTTGGTCTATATGTTAGTGTGAAGTAGTTGCAAGTGTTTAGTATAGCCTAGTAAAGATTGTGTGCCGTGTAGATCATTACACATAAATGAGACTGTCTGATAGCTTTTCTGTATCACCACAAGGAAGAGATCTGCTGTAAAAAGACACTCGATCAGTCACTCCTAAGGAACCGTACGATACTACATAAGTGTGAGACGCTACACGTGTTCATAGGGCTATGAGAAGTCCGGGTCGAGACTCAAAGCCTCGACCTTGCGTAACTACTTCACTGGAGACTCTTGCGAAGTCATTCTCTTTTCCTATGTTGTCGAGAATAATCCCTGTACAAGCTCGAGACTGTACATCAAGTTCTGTGTAGTACTTGGGTTTGCAGTCATGTAACAATAAACATGTATACCTCTTCTTAATATCTGAAGATTACGCAGTCCGTCAGCTCCTATTCAGGCACTCTGCGACCC